TCCTGTCACTTCTTCAACACTTTGTACGCCCTCCATGGTTGCAGGGAGGACCTCGGCCTTTGAAGAATTTCACATTCTTGGAACATTCCAGATTGTATGCCTTGAACTGTGAGTATAGTAATTGGTATAAAAACACTAGGGAAGAGATAAGCTACAGGAGGGATTTCCCTTACAAAGTGACCAAACCGGGTATGTAAGTGAAAAGCTTTATAAATCCTGAGAGCTTGTTGGCAAGCACGACTAAGCATTGCTGAGTCACCGTAAACTCGAGTTCCTACCACTTGTTCACACTGGCATACCAATTAGGGTTAAATGTGGTGCAATTATCATTAGTCTAGCTCTTTCTTTTTTCTCCACTTAAAACACCTTATTGAACTCATAGTGGAAGCCCCAAAAGGGATTTGGAAATGGCCTGACCTATTCTCTTCCTGAGGCTCAGAGGCAAGTTTCAAATTAAACAAGGACACACAGGCGGAAATACTTTATAAATAAATTGCTGCAAAATTATAAAGGTATAATTACCACCGATATCATGACCAGCCACTTGGCCAAGATCACCCAGCTACATGGACCATGGAAGATTCTAAACTCCAAAGAGCCTGGTGGGATCTTTGTAATTTAATTATGGACAGTCCTGGATCCCACATGAGGAAGTGTTTAATAAATAATCAACTGACTGCAATGTGAACTCTTTAATCCCAAGCCAGCAGAGAGGCTCGCTTTCCTCTTCAGAAAGAGCAAAGCCTGAAGAGAGAGCATTTGTTTACCAATCTGAAAAGGGAGCAGAGAAAAGCCTGCCTTGATTCCTGGGGGAGAAAAATACAACTGTTCTAAGCTGTTGTGTTACATCAGTTTAGAAGTAACTTCTCTGAATTAAGAGAAAATCGAGTTGGGGAAAACGCTTCCTTTAGGAGATTTAACTCCCAGCTGGGCACTTATGTGCTGCTACACTTCGCAAGTACATAGTCGGTGCCCCACTGCACCTGCCACCACCACCAGCCAGGACAGGGCGGGAGTCACGCTCCTGCCAGCCTCCTCCTCCCGCCCCCAACCCCTCATCCTCCTGATCTCCCCGCAACCCACGCCGGCTCCTTTAGCAACAGGTGGACATAAAACCATCAAGTTCCATGATGACCATCAACGAAACCCACAGCAGTGAATCGAGAGTGAAGGAGAACGTTTCAGTTCATATTTAAAATGTTAAATCGGGTACTTGTAATTCCCCTGATTTAGCTTTTTTAATTAAAAAATTCAAGCTTTAGTCAACATTTGCATATTCATACCTCTAAAATGTGTACTGATTGCATTAAAGGTGGAGAGAAAGCGTGGCCGTGCAGCACAAATACAGTCACTCATCAAGGGCACCGTCTATGTGTGCAGAGATAAATATTTCCAAACAAATTAACATACGCCCCAGCACAGGTGCTCCAGCCTCACGGCTCCCTCCAGCTTTTTCAACCCCACTTTTCCTTCCATCCGGTTTCACCAGGCAGACCATCAGTTTTAAAAATGTATCATTTGGTGATTTGTAGGATTAGTGAGCCCCTTGGCCAAAGTCACTGATCAGTGACTCACTCTTCAATGAGCAGAAGTCAGGGAAGAAAATACTCAACTACACTTTTTACTATAAATTACTTCATAATTATAATTATAAATTATAGTATCACTTGTTATTATACATTTATTATCAACCAAGAGTGCAGCTTCCATAATTCAACGAAGACCTCTAATGCGCAGTTTGTAGTCACAACAAGGGGCAGTCCCCACGCCTGAGCACTGACCACCCCTGACCAGGCAGAGCAGGCGCTGTTAACGGCCCACCAACAGCCACTCTCTTCTGACTTCTTGCTCACAGAATCATGACTTTGTGTGGAGCTACAGTGTGCCCAGCTCTTAAAAGTAGGTCATGTTTTGCCTAAGCCAGCAGTTGGCAAACTATCCCTGGGCCAAATCCAGCCCACCACCTGGTTTTGTAAATAAAATGTGATTGGAACACAGATCAGCCCACTCATTTATGTGTCGTCTGGGGCTGCTCCGCTCCAAGGACAGATCCAAGTAGCTGCACGGAGAACACAGGGCCTGCAAAGCCTCAAGAATTCCACACCTGGCCCTTCTCAGAAGACATTTGCCCAACTCCGGTCCAAGCCATCTCCAGCCAACTTCCCAGCTTCCCTTGCAGCTAAGAAGGTGTTGGATTGTATACAGTAGACGAGGAAGAAGACGTGACCAAGAGCTACTTGTGGGTAACTGAAGAGATGACAGACCCATTGACTGAAGTAAGAGCCTTGGATCAGATTTGGGGAGAGGAGTGCAGGGAGGAAGAGGTACATTCAGAACATCTGAATATATGATTTAAGGTAGTCTGGGGGAGTCAAGTAAATACTTCAACACCCAACTACAGAACTCAGAAAAGAGTCTAGACTGAAGAGTCCTAAGGTCAACTGCTTTGTTAACTTTAATTCAAATAGACTCTTCTTGGATATTATCCCTGCCAACCATTATCTCTACTTAAATCCTCTTGACCACTGCCTCCTCCTTAAAACTAACTCAGCTCCAACGGCCCTAGCCTTCCCTGGTTCTCGCCCACTGCTCCTTCTATCCTTTTGGCCCGCCCTCATATTGCCCTTTCCTCTGAACTGGGGCATTCCTTTAGGGCTTATCTTCAAGCTTTTTTGCCTCCCTTAATATTCTCTCCCTAAACATTCTCATCAGCCTCACAGCTTTCAAGCAACAGACTCCCAAATTGACATTTGTAGCCTTGTCTTTTCTCTAGATCCTGACCCATTGTTACCCATTGCATATCCCCAAACAGGTGCCGTGTTGTCAACCCAAACTCTACATACATAAATTTTTATTGATCTTACCCCAGCTAGGTGAAAAATGCTGGTTATGGAGTTGGAATTACTTGTTTTGAGTCCTGGCTTTGAGTCCCATGGTGTGAGGTTAGCAAATTCCCTCATTTCTTGGTGGCTCAATCTCATTTCCATGTACCTCAAGAGAGGTACAAAGTCCCATTCATGGTTGCAGACGAGAAGAAAGTACTGATTTGGAACAGATGGTGAGGGGAAAGCTAGTAATACTGAGAAGATCATATTTGAGCTTGAAAAGTGTGGGGAACTTCAGGCATCTGTATGCCCTCCTTTCATGGGGACCCTGGGATTTCAATTTGAGTATATGCATGGGTGGGGTATACTCTGACTTCAGGCTCCTGGATGCGGAGGAGACCAGATCTGAACACCATTTTTCCTTTGGTCTCCGGTCCCAGCTTCGTTTCATACTTGCTCAGTTCCAGCCTGGGTCCAACCTCTGCTCTGGCATCTGTGGCCTGTGCTAGTTGCTGTTTATCCAACTCGTTTTGTCCTCTGGCCCTTCCTGAAGCCTGGCCATCCATGTGAGCTCACATGTGACCCCCGGTTTCCACCTGCTATTCTTAGACTTAAATCTCTCTGATTTAAACCACAACAACCAACTATAAATGAGCTTTACAAAGAGGCAGACGCTTAGAGTGGGTTTACATCAAGTCGGTCAGAGAACACAGGCAAAACATTGGGAACAAATTTCAGGGGGTGTTCCCTGAGGCAGTGGCCAGAGAGCCACACCCTGCCCCTTCCTGGCTGTGGTGTAGCTCCCCGCTGGTCACCCTGAGATGCCCACTGAAGATGTCATGGAAAACTGAGCCTCTCTTGCTCCGTGACTGTTTCTTATATGACACTGTTTATTTAGTGTTTGCTGAAAGATCAGCCTTCCCACATGTCCTGAGATGCATCCTTTACCAAAGAAAGCATTTGCTGATTTCCTAAGCACTCAAAGGTCAGATGAGATGCAGAACGCTTTATTCATCTTCCCTTTAAAGTCTTTTCAGGGGGCTGTCTCTCAGAGACATACAGTGTGGTTTATCTAGTCCTACTCCTCCAGGACTCGAGAAAACAAGCTGGATCCGAGAAAAGCAAAACAAAAACAAAAACATTTCCAAGCCAGTGTGGTTCCAGGAAACAAAGTAAGGATGGAATTCCTAGTCGCCGTGTTTGCTGTGGGACTAGAGCTGCCTGGCAAGATGGAGTTAAACACAGAAGCCACGCTCCTGTGCGGCAGTCTAGGGGCAGAGTCCTTCCTTCGTAGTGATAACGAGATAGTTCTGCCTGTGAGTGCGAGGCCACAGGCTGGCATGTGAACAGGAAGTGGGGCCAAGCCTAAATGAAATCAAACTGTGAATAAAGGAGGGTTCACATAAAAACCGACAGCCTAGTTCACAGAGCTCGTGTGTGGCTCGGCCGCCTAGAGGCCGCCGCCACGGTCTGCCCCGGACAGGAGATGAGAGGAGTCGCCTTGCTGGCGACTGGCTGAGGAGGTGGTGAGAAGCGGGTTTGTCCACACTTTGTCGTGCCTGTGACACTGGGAAGGTAAGAGGGGCTGGCGAGAAGGGTGACAGGCTGATGACTTTCTTTGGAAACAGCCGGGAAAGGCTGCCAGAAATCCAGGAAGCTGAACGTTCTGATTCAAAAGCTCGACTCCCTGAGCTTTATAACCACGGCCATGTGATTTTTAAGTAACTATTTCAGAGAGGACACTGGATCCAGTCCTGCCTCTGCTAACTGGTTGTCTAACCTTGACAAACTGCTTCACTTCTCCAGGACCACGTGTTTATTTTCTGCTTAAGGAGAGGATGCGAGGGTTGGAGAGGTGTTTGGAAGATTAGGGAGAGGGTGGCAGAGAGGGATAAGATTGGGTTCCTGGGTCCAGACTGGGGGGCCTAAGCCCCAGAGAACAGAGAAAGTTAGAACAGGACTAAGCAGACACTGCTCCAAGGAGGTGGTCGGCCTATCAGCCATCATCCTGGCAGAAATATTTCCATCAGCAAGGGTTGAATATTAACTTTCCAAAAGAGAAGTCCAAGTCCTAAGCACCAGAATTTGTGAATGTGATCCTATTTGGAGGAAAGATCTTTGAGGATGTAATTAAGGATCTCAAAATCAGGTCATCCTGGGGGTGCGGGGGAGGGGGGAGCTATAGCTCAGTGGTAGAGCATATGCTTCGCATGCACCAGGCCGTGGGTTCAATCCCCAGTAGCTCCATGTAAATAAACAAACAAACAAATACATACATACCTACCTAATTACCTCCCCTGCCTCCCAAACACAATCAAGTCAAAATCACATCATCCTGGATTTGGGGTGGTCCCTAAATCCAACAAGTGTTCTTATAAGAAAAAGGTGGTGGTGGCGGGGGGGGGGGCGTTGAGAGACTCAGACACACAGGGGAGAAGGCCATGTGGCGACCAGGGCAGAGGTGGGATTCTGCAGCCCCAAGTTAAAGAACGCCTGGAGCCGCCAGAAGCTGGAGGAGGCTGGGTGTGCGTTGCTAGAGACTTCAGGAGGAGTGCGGCCCTGCCAATGCCTTCATTTCAGGCTCCTGGCCACCAGGACTGAGACTGTTCTAAGCCACACAATTTGAAGTAGTTTGTTACAGAATCCCTGGGAAACTAATATAACGTCCTTGTGAACAGAACAGTCAAGCACAAGCCTCCCTTTAAAAAGACTTCCTTGAAAAAAGAACCCTCCTACACTGTCGGTGGGAGTGTAGACTGGTGCAGCCACTGTGGAGGACAGGATAGACGGTCCTTAAACAACTAAAAACAGAGTTACTATATGATCCAGTAGTCCCACTCCTGGGCATTTACCCGGAGAAAAACAACTCAAAAAGATACACGCACCCCCAATATTCACAGCAGCACTATTTACAATAGTCAAGCCATGGAAACAACCCAAATGTCCATCAACAGATGACTGGATAAAGAAGATATGAGAGAGAGAGAGAGATAGAGATATATAGAGATAGACAGAGAGAGAGAGAGAGAGATAGGTATATAGATATAGATACACACAGTGGAATACTACTCAACCAAAAAAAGAATAAAACAATGCCATTTGCCGCAACATGGATGGACCTGGAGATCATCATTCTAAGTGAAGTAAGCCAGAAAGAGAAAGAAAAATGCCATGTATCATTCATATGTGGAACCAAAAAAAAGACACAAATGAACTTATCTATAAAACAGAAACAGACTCACAGATATAGAGAACAAACTTATGGTTACTAGGGGTTAAAGAGGGTAGGAAGGGAAAAATTGGGAATTCAAAAATTGCACCTCTTGGTGAGTGATGGAAATGTTAGCTATCTTGATTGCGGTGGTGGTTTCATGGGTGTAGACATCTATCAAATTAATCAAATTGCACATCTGAAATACGTGCAGTTTACTGTACAAGACCCATATCACAATAAAGGTGTTTAAAAAATAAATAACACTTTAAAAAATAAAATAAAAATAAAAAGACTTCCTTCCTCCTTCCTTGGGGTCTCGAGGCTGCTCATTTAAGCCAGATTCAAGCCCCAATTGAGAGATGGGCAGGGGGGTAAGAGCACATCTAACTCTGTCAAAACCATGTGATTCTCATAAGAGACCCTGTTGCTTTAGTTTAGCCCCAAGACGGCACCATGTCAGAGGTGTCTGAAGCTGGCAATGGTGCCAGGAGGAGACAGCTTTTCCACAAGCCCTTCCTATGAGATGAGAGGTGAACATTACAGGAAAGGCAGATAAGGAGCTAAGAGGGGTAGGAAATTAAACCCATTTCTAAGGAAGCAACAGTGTAGGGTGAACACCGGTGGCCCCTCTTCCCACACCCTGCTCACCCCTCCAAAAAAGAAGTGTCATTTCTCTGAATGCGGAGACTGGGGCACTAGTGGGTCAGGTCCTTCTGGTTCTGGAGTGGGAAGGAAGTGGGAAGTCTCGGTCTCCCCCCCACCCCCACCCCCACCCCCACCCCCGAGTCCTCCTCACGGACTGATGGCGATGCCAGGGAGCCGTCCTCTTCCAGGTCCCTGTGGTTCTCAGGGCGCAGGGTCTGGCTTCTAGAAGCCGCTTAGGAACCCACAGTTCTGTCTTCCACTTTCTACCTCTCTGCCTTGGTTCATCTGGTGGCTGCGACTTTCTGTGCATCTTTGAGATGCAGCCCTGGCTCTTTGAGAGGTAGGAACCGGTCTCCATCTTTGAGACTTTGGGAGCAAGAAGTCCACTTGGGGTCTGGGTTTTGGTTCAGGACATGGAGGGTACATTGCCCACTGTTTGCTAGGAAAGGCGGGCTTTGGGTAATGAAGCTGGTACCTCTGTTCCTTATTTGACTGTTAGTGTTTGTTTACAATCATTTAAAAACTGGGGTAGGTGAGGGTCACGTGGTAGATACTCCATACATTCCAGCAAGATCACTCATCTACTGAAGCCCTGCCTGCCAGGTGCCAGGCGCTCAGCCGATCCACTTTTTCGGATTCATGTTCTTTTTTCCTCAAAGCAAATCGCTTTCTGGGACCATTTTCCCATGAACTAAAGGGACCCTTCCATCCTCTTTCTCAAGCAGAGTGTTCAAATTAACCTCCTCCATGAATTCTCCAGAAATAACTTCAAGTCCACAGATAATACAGCTCTACTTTGAATTTCTTTATATTTATAAATTTTATGCAATGTGTTTATTCTCAACATGTTTAAATACCCTGATTATTTCCTTCATATTCACCATCTCACTCCAAATCTGTTAAAGTTAGTCACACACTGAGGAATGGTATTTTTTCCAATATCTCTCCTATCCCTATGAACACTCCCACATCCCAGGTTATCTGACAGAGTTTCAATTTTGTGTAATTTTATTCATTGATTCAGCAAATCCTCCACTGGAATCCTACCACAGGCAGGCATGAGAGAGATAAAGATAAATAAAACACAGTCCCAGCCCTTGGAGATTTCAAATTCCACTGAGAGAGAAATTTCAATAGGAAGTAATGTCATAGACTTTGTTTATATTTACCTTACTTTGTGAACAGAGTCATGAAAACAGAAGACAGAACAACTTACTCTGCCTGAAAGTCAAGAGGGTCTTAAAGAAAGGGGATGTAAAAAAAGGTTCTGAAGGAAGAACAGGAATACACCGTACAGATGAAGAGGGAAAGGTATTCTAAACAGAAGACATAGTATATGTAAAGGCACAGAGTCATCAGTGGTCCAAGCATGGCAAGAAAACAATGAACATCTCCAAGGAGTTGGAATGAGTTGCCATGGAGACGCTGGCAAAGGATGAGGTTGGCAAGGCAATTGGCAGCATGTAGTGAAAACTCTGTATGCCAAGTTAAGGTATTTGGATATTATCTGGTCAGCAACTGGCAGCCAACAGAAATCCCTAAAATCATCTTTAGCTTTAAGATTTTTGTAAAATAACAATTAGAAAAAATTTCTAGTTTGAAAATTACGATTAGGATGTGCACAATGCTCAGGATATTGCTGGACACGCAGAAGGCACTAAGTAAGTTCCTACTGAATATGAATTCAAGGAGAGTCAGAAAGGAGGAACCACGGAAAGAGATGCTGAGGCCATATTGATCACTTTTCCAAGTCCTAGCTGCCATTGGTCATTCCCCCAAAGACAGGATGCTCCACAAGGATACAGACGAAAGTCTTTTTTTCTCAAAACAGAACTAAAAAATCAACTCCGTGCTTATACGATTGAGCATGTCTGCTCTGGTCCCTCTAGCTCTCACTTTGTAGTGAAGAGACGGCATAAACCACATTCACACGCTCAGTTCAGACTCCGTGAGGGCCTTGTCATGACTCCCCAGTTTGACCATGGCTGATGAAATGACTGTCCCACATTTAGAAATAAATGTGGAGGTGGAGTCGTCAGATAAAAATATTTTGGAAAATTAAGCACAGATGGTTGAGCATTTCTGTAACACTTTAAGATTTTTTTCCCTTTCTCCTTTTCCCTCCTCCTCTTTCTTTAAATACTGCAATTAAAGGAAACCCTTAAAAGCAGACCTGGTTTCAAATCCCAGCTCTGTTGCTTACCAACAAAGTGCCCTTAGTCGAGTCACTTTGCTCTTCCAAGTCACTCCTCCCTTTTACAGAAAAACAACCAAGTAAAATGGGCTGTTGAAAGCATTAGATATGTCCACGTGCAGAAAGGGGCCTAGAACAGCACCTGGTAGGAAACAGGCGCTTAACACATGGTATTATCATTTTAACAAACTCATGTTGTTACTCAATCTCTAAAGCCTCTGGATGAATTCCAGGGAGGACCAATGTACATGTAGTGTGTGTCAGGGTGATATTTTGGGGCAATTATCCAGGAAACTCCCTCCTAATGTTTGGTTCCACCTTGACTCAGATTTATGTTCTCAAGTTCACAACTTCCTTTCACAGTAATTATCAGTGAACCTCCAGCCTTATCTCTTTCATTTTTGCTGTAGATGAAACAGCATCTGTTTCCCAAAGGTGGCTTTAGCTTAAGCTGTCCCTAAAGCCAGCTTTTGAGCCAATGGTCGAGCTCTGGAAACTCTTTAAAATCATTTTAAAGTCAGGAATAAGGCCTCCGATACAATACATTCTGCCATAGGTGGAACCCAGCTCAGGCACACATGAAACAATGTTAAATCATTAACTTTGATTCATTACAAATGAGTGGGGGAAAATCTCATATTTGTTCTGATCTCCATTTAAAATCAAAGCCGACGGTTGTGAGCACAGCACACTCTCACCCTTCCGGAATCAGCAAGATAGTATGACCGCAGACAAGGACTCACTGAAAACAAAGTCCCCAGCAAGAGTCTGAACAACTCACAGGCCAGCCCCAAGAAAAGTCATCAAATCCAGGAAGGCTGCTCCCTCCCTCTACCCACAGCACCCTCATATAAAAGGTACAAACCTCACCGAGCTGTTGAGAGGGCCCTCGCGCGGAGAAGGGATGGAAGACGTAGAAGAGCCCAGGGGTGGGGACGTCCTTCCCGAATCTACGTGTTGGTGAGCAGTGTTTTACAAGCCTGTAGAGATTAGATTATTTTGAAAAGCGTCCTCTCTGTGGTCTATCTCCAGGCCCAAGTGACACGGCCTCCAGAAGTCCAGTTGTTAAGGACAGGAAAGGCAGCCGACGGCAGCTCCCAGCCCAGCGGCACCCGTGAGCTTTCTGTTGAGAAGGAAGCTGCCTTAATAGAGCGCTTCTCAGTCGCGGCTGCACATTGGAATCACCTGGGGAGC